AATCACCTCTATGACTTCTTACTGTCATTAAGTTTAATAAGTTTAATCTTTTGACAAATATTGTTAGCTTTTTCCACATTTAAAGTAAAAAAGTACTAAAATAATTATATACTTAATATGCCCTCATGAAAAGTGATATAAGTATATATTAAAAGAATAAATAAAAAAGGAACAAACAAAAAAATAATGACAAACATTCTAAAAGAACAACAACAACCAAATAAAGAGCTATTAAATGAAATCAAAACATTAAAAAAGCAATTAACTGATAAAGAAGAGAATTTTAAACTGAGAATTTGTTAGCTTTAAGAATCTTAGAAAGATCCACTTGACCTACCAATGGTTGATTAAGTTATCCTGAAAAGAGTGGAATTGAAATTGGAAGGGTTGTTTTTCTTTTTTAACAATGAATTCACTCCTGAAAACATTGTTAATAGTTTTGGAGATGATTATATTTTATTCATTGCCAGTATAGATTGGTCTTGGGCAAGTAATATCTTTGTGGTTGAGATATGTGGTTTTTTGTGCGCACCCTTTTTTTGAAACACAATGTATAATTTACATTAAGGAACAGGTACAAATGATTCAACTGTTAGAATTTAGGAGGACACGCAGGAAAAGTTAAATTATTGTTATTTTCAGATAATTTGATTAAAATATGGGATTTAAGGAAACAAACAAATGTCCAACTTTAACATTAGAAAATGCAAATAATATTAATAATCAATTAAATGTATTTGTATATTTTGCATAAAATTTTTCTTTATTATGATTGTAAAATCTTTTGTTTTTCAATTACAGTCGCAATAGATAATAATAAATATTATTTCAATCATTTACACACTTTCCGTTTTACAAATGTACATTCCACCGATATCAGAAACAGTTCCACCATTAAATTACGATTATAATTACGATTATATTATTATTATAAAGATATTTTATAAAAAAGCGTCTTGTAAATTTATGTATGTGTAAAATATTCTATATCGTGTTGTCACATGATTCGCATTCAACTTCCAACCATGAATATAAAGCCTTGTCATGCTCCTTCATCAAATATTCATTATATCCCGCACATATAGGCCATTTTATGTTTGTTGTATCTTGAAGAACTGGATGCTGTGTTTTACCCTCCTCTCCAGTCCACCAACATTCCCCGAGGAAGTGAATATTAATCCAGTCGTCATATGGGGGCTGTTCTAGGAAAAAGTGGGTTTCTTCAGATTTTTTGTTTTTGAGATATTCATAAAAACAAAAAGCA